AAGTAAGCTTCTATTGCTACAAATCATTTTGTTTTCACTGTTCAAATTCAATTGTTCATATTCGTGTACAATTTTTTGTAAAATCATATAAATTGCACAATTTGTTAAACATTTTTAAAACTTATTTTTTTTTTGTAAAAATTGTGGAATATTTTAAGTTCCAAAAGTATGATAATATCTTTTATGGGCACTGACACTCTTTTCATTTTTACTGTATTACTATTTCAATGTGTCTTTCTGATTGAGTGTTTCAGCAATTTGAAGCTATTTACTGTGATCTTCATTATTTTTCAATTTTATATTAAAATTTAGGGAAAATTACTCCAAAAATTAAACAATCTATCAGGAAGCATTTCATAAACAGATTGTAAAGATATGCTTACAGTAATACGTTTACAATAATACGCACTAATATTCTTACAGTAGTAGGTTCTGTCATTAATTCATTAAATAAAACCGAAATTTTTAGAAGGCGCTTTTCTGCTTTAAAGAGAACACCTTTCACTTTTAATTTTACTTTCAGCAAATGCAACTGTTCTTCTGTTGTACTTTGCAATAAGATTTAAAATGATATTGAAACATGATTGATAGATTACTGCTATTATCATTATTAGAAGTTCTAAAATACACATCATTAAATAATGAAAGGTTAAATATTAAAATATCATTAAATTCACCACTTTGCGCTAAAGATTTTTTGCATCTCCCAACACGAATATTGTCAAAAAAAAAATAAATTAGCAAACAAAAAGCAATTATGAAAGATTAATAAAAGTTTGGTTGGAATTAGAAGCAATCAGAAGAGGACATGATTCATCATATTATGTTGTTGATAACAAAAGGTAGCAACAAATCATAATGATACTGCTTTGATAAGCAGAAACCTGTTTTTATGATGAATAAATTTATTATTTTATAGATATGTTCATTCAACAATGATAAGCTTTTTGCAAGAGTCACAGAGCTAACTCATTGCTATTCTGCAATTTTATCACTTATTGTTCCCATCCAATCATTATGTTAGCATGTCAATCTTTGACCTTATCTATTTTATCAGATCAATTTGAAGAAATGCAAAAAAAGAATCCTCCATCTTGCTTTTGTAATTTATAAAATTTTAAACATTGTTAGGTGTAAATGTAGTTCGAGTTAATATTACCTCGAAGCAAAGATGATATTTTCACATTTCATTTCATTTCATCTATCTCACCTGGGTTAGTCGTTATTATCAGTTTCAAATTAACTTTTGTTTATTTACTTCATTGCAGGAATAACATACACGAAATCAATGACAAACAATCAATTCTGATAATGAGCATTTTTAATTTATTACAATTAATTTTCTTCTTGAACTATTGAAATCTTTATTATGCATGATTGCTATTTTCAAAATTTTTCTTCATTGTTGCAATATCGAATATAATGTAATTTAAACAGTGAAGTTATATTTTCGAAAATCTTCGATACATGCAATTTTTTTTTATGCAGCAAAAAAGTTAAAAGTGTAAGCATTCTTAGCCAGATTCAAATTTCTAGCATGAATCAGAAGCTTCATTGTTTTTCAAATATTTCGATTCTTATTCTATATTTTATTAAAAATTTTAATTGCAATTATAATTCTCAAATACTCGACTGGAAAAAAGTTTCAATTTAGCACTATTATCCTTTAAATAATTTAACAA